TTGGGATAGTCGAGTGGAAATTTTTTTTTTCCTACTTGGGTTTTACATCGAAAAGAAAAAAACCTGTCACGGTTTTTGTCGTGCGATACGTGTCCGAAACCATAAATACGATTCCACAAAGGTCTGCTACACGGTCTCGTAGATCTGACCTGAAGGGACAGACAATGGGCGCGGGCCTATGCACGACATGGCCAGTCGACTAGGCATCCTACGCGTACAAGGTCGAACAGCATTGAAGACTTGTCATGAGAGAGCGGCAAACACGGCGGCGGCGGTGGTGGTGGTGGTGGTGGTGGTGGTGATGGGTAGAAACGAACCGTTATCCGCGCTACCACCACAGCGACAGCTACAACCCCGAAAACTACCCCCGGAGAGACCATTAGAACACAAACCGGTTTCTCTCTGAATTTTTTCTCTGCTTCTATCCTGTTATTTATTTATTATTTCAACCGCGTTGCAAAGTGTTTTCGTGTAGAGAATCCTGCAACGAGAAGAAAAAACACTCATAGTTATAAAAATATGTGTCCCGCTGACAGTCTACTCTTAGCCTTATATGATTTGTTGTGGTCGCCAACGAGAGGTCCGGTCAACCGATTGATTTTTCAAACATTTTTTAAATTCACAAAAAAGTAGTGATGAAATACGAAACCTGAGAATTTCTTGAAAACACGACAATTATTTTTAAATAGTTGTATTTGCATCATAGAAATTGCGAGCCTGCACATTAGACATAATGAATTTTCCTTGAATAAAATAACATTGAGACAATTACTATTTGTTGGAATGTTTGTAGTCAAAAAGGTAGAGAACAAAAGGTCGTACACCCTTTCAAATAAAATCAGAGTCTATATACAATAGTCATGATATATTTGCCAACAACAATAGCGGTTATTTACCTAGAATTTATTAAATAGAACGAATTTTATCGTTTATTTATAATAATAATTGGTGGATTAATATTACAATAACAAACCGCCCGACAGCTTTTTAATAAATGATATAATATGACAACCCGATTTCAAGTAGTATAGACTAAATTTTCAGATTTATAAACAGTTTATTGTTATATTTTTCTCGAGAACATTTTTCATTCATCTTTCTAAAAAACATTTAATATTTGAAATAAAAATATGTGATTATTAATATTGAATTTTAAGCTAAAATAATCTTATTATTGGTATTTCTTTTATAGCAATATTTGGCATAGTAAACAATTTATCAATAAGAATAAATAATGAACAGAGCAATTATTTAATCGATCTGTAAGTGGCATACTTATATAATAATAAATCTTATTTTTCTGATTTTTATTTATTCATCATAATTAATACATACATGACAAACTAATTATACACTAAACATCGAATTGCTTTACACGACAGTCGCCCATTATTTACAGTGAATATAACATGAAAAACGACTATGACGTGTTATTTACTACAATTCAAAGACATATCGTTTGAAATAGAAATATTATTAGAAGCCTATGTCTACCAAATATGGGGCTCTAAAGACCTTTTTTTGGAAATCTTTTTGTTTTTTAGCAAACAATTTTTTTCTATCATGCACACCATATTAAACAAATTCAAGTCCAACATGAGTTGTAAATACGTGTATGAATAAAATACTTCATTTATGTATTTATAAATTAATTAACTATGGTAAGTAATTCAACAAGTAAATGATTTGACAGATTCTCAATAAATTATTAGCAAATGAAACGTATAATCATTAATTATTTCGTTGAGATACATTTTTTTCTAATACAGAATATAGCAAATCTATTTTTTTAATAATCTAAATGCTATTACAATCACATAGGAAATAATATCCACTCTATTTTCCATACGGAAACCTTTAATTAGTATTCCACCGAATAGCCAAGTGACCGGTCTGTTGTAAGCCGCGCAGACTTTGTTAAAACTTAACATTGTGCCGCTGTAATTAGTTTGGAACGTTTTAAATTTTACTGAAAACCGCTAGCGCATCACAACAGACTGTGTACAACAAGGAAGTTATATGGTCAAACTATAACAACAGTAGTTTGCGTACATTACAAAAGACGGCGGCAATTTGTCGGTTAAGTTGGCCGGCGGTTTGCACGAGAATCAAGACAAGGCCGTTGCTCGTGCTTTTGATAGGTGTGGTACAATTCAATTATTCATATTGAATGTGTCGGTCAACCGGTAAAGATTTTTTTGTCGTCTCGTGGCTTGCGCCGAAAAAACCATTCGTTTTCCCCACAGAACCGGGTCATTGTCGGACATTAGCACCTCTATAGGTTTTGCGAGCATCGCCGTCAATTTGTACCCGATGACAAGGAGCAGCAACATAATAATAAACTATTCAACGGCTATTGCGGCCCCTAAGTGTAGCAACTGACCGCGGGGCTTCTCACCCGCATCACGACCGGACATCGCGCGGGGAAAACCTCCTTAGCCTATCGGCGGACACCTCCGTCGTTGCCGATACACACGTAAATGTGTACAACGCACGCGGTGAAATTAGCATGGCGAACAGGTACAAACGCAGGGCGGCACGAGCCCCGGACACTGACAACACACACACACACACACACACAATAGTACACCCCTGTAAATAATAATTGTATAATAATAACTGTGTGGCAGTGTATACTTGCGTGTACAATAACAACACAACAAAACGTATCTGACCGTGTCGCGGTCGTTGCATCACATGGATTCTTTTTTTTTTTTTTTCGCTTCACCTAGGGTCATTTACATGACCCGAAAGAGGACCTTTTTCTTTCTCCAACCGACCAGACGTAGGCCCATTCATGAACTCGGCGCGTCGTTGCAGTCACAACGCAAGTCGTCATAATATTGTTATGGTATTGTAATTGCGTTATCCGAGGTGCCAACAGGTAACATATTTTGTGAACGCGCACCGGGTCTCTTATGCGCCGCGCGTAGGATCGGACGCGAATAAAAACGGGTACGCGAGTAAATTGCGGTCAAGCATTTCCGGGGACGTACGCAAAGCCACCTCGAGCGATTGCTAGGAAACCTATTGTGCAATTTGCACAATAATGGGCAGTCGGAGGGGGGGGGAGGGGCGAAATAACGATGAAAGAGTAGGTACTCCTTTTTTCGCGTCATTAGTAATTTTGTTAATTTGATCTCGTCTCGAACGCGCTGCGGAGAAGCCCGTAAAGACCGACAGTCTGCGTCCTTGAACCGATCGGGCTCACTGACACTAATACATAATAATGTATACGTATAATATTTTATTACACTGGCGTTCGTAGTAGTAAAATCAAGGCAGCTAATATGTGTTGGCGATTTTACCGCGTTTGTTGCCGATAAGCCTCTTTCGTTCATTGTGTACACCGCCGCCTGTCGCCGGCCAACGCACACACACACGTGGAGTGCGGTCGCATTCACGCGTGTGTGCACTGGTCCATTATGTACTGCGTGAGGTCTGGGGCGCCGCCGAGTCCGTTTTTTGGACACCACTGCGCGATTTTATGTGTGTACAGAGTCGAGTTTCTCGGAAACAATCGCTATTTTTTCCTTCCGTCCACTTTTTCGAGGTTCTGTTGAAAGGAAATTACAATGTGTTAGTACCGAACTTGTGTGCCACAAATATGATGTTATTTTTTTCCAAAAACAGAGTCTTAAATGACTTTTAAACTTCATTTTACATCACTTTTCGTGATGGTTATCCGATGCTAGAACTCAACGTCTAAAATGGTCGTTCTGCTAGGATTTTATATTGGGGTATTTTAGACTCGTTGCATGTAAAAAACGTTGCGAGTTTTGTTTATTTGTGTAAGAGTTATAAAATAAACACGCGATGCATTATTAATCAGTAGATGTTTTTATAGTAGATGTATATTATATTTTTCGTGTTCTTCCAAGTTTTATCGAAATTCTTGGTAGTTAATTTTGTTCGAGACAAATCAATAGGAGTTACCGCGATGCTGTCGAAAAAACAAATTTACAACNGATCTCGTCTCGAACGCGCTGCGGAGAAGCCCGTAAAGACCGACAGTCTGCGTCCTTGAACCGATCGGGCTCACTGACACTAATACATAATAATGTATACGTATAATATTTTATTACACTGGCGTTCGTAGTAGTAAAATCAAGGCAGCTAATATGTGTTGGCGATTTTACCGCGTTTGTTGCCGATAAGCCTCTTTCGTTCATTGTGTACACCGCCGCCTGTCGCCGGCCAACGCACACACACACGTGGAGTGCGGTCGCATTCACGCGTGTGTGCACTGGTCCATTATGTACTGCGTGAGGTCTGGGGCGCCGCCGAGTCCGTTTTTTGGACACCACTGCGCGATTTTATGTGTGTACAGAGTCGAGTTTCTCGGAAACAATCGCTATTTTTTCCTTCCGTCCACTTTTTCGAGGTTCTGTTGAAAGGAAATTACAATGTTTAGTACCGAACTTGTGTGCAACAAATATGATGTTATTTTTTCCAAAAACAGAGTCTTAAATGACTTTTAAACTTCATTTTACATCACTTTTCGTGATGGTTATCCGATGTTAGAACTCAACGTCTAAAATGGTCGTTCTGCTAGGATTTTATATTGGGGTATTTTAGACTCGTTGCATATAAAAAACGTTGCGAGTTTTGTTTATTTGTGTAAGAGTCATAAAATAAACACGCGATGCATTATTAATCAGTAGATGTTAATATTATATTTTTCGTGTTCTTCTAAGTTTTATCGAAATTCTTGGTAGTTATTCTGTTCGAGACAAATCAATAGGAGTTACCGCGATGCTGTCGAAAAAACAAATTTACAATACAGAGAATTAATATTTTGTTGTTGAAACGCCGTTTTTACAAAACTATTGAAATAATATTATCAAACACTCGTCTGTCCGTTTATTAGAGAAAAGTTCAAGGAATCGGATTATATAAATAATGTAGAGAATACTTGTACGTCGAGTAACAACTCGATGATAATAGGTTGGAGAAAAAACAATAAAGAATCCATTAATTGGCCATTCAATTCTTTAGGGCTTATTTTTGTCGAACAAATCAAATGATGGCGAATTTTTATGGGCTCGAATCGTTTGGTGTTTTAGGAGGTCTGTTGCGCTTTAAATGATATCTGAATGTATAATGGCGCAGAATTATGATTTTAAATGATTTCACCCGACACATGTCACGTGTGCTCAATAAAAACGTCTAGCGATTCCAAGCGATAGTTTGTGGCGGTAGGTAAGTTAACAATACTTGGTGCGTTTCCCAGTCAAGCCCCCGCTGTTTTTATTGGACGGAAAAACAGCCTTGACTTTTTTTTTTTTCTCTCGAGTAAATAATACAACAACAATAACACGTCGAGAGAATTATTACCGCAATTGTCGTCAGTCGGCGGCACTGTGTGCGTTGATAATTTATTCTCGAACACGAGAACACACGCGAACAACGTTGACACGTCAACCGGACGAGAGTCGTTCCCAGGTGTCGCCGATAAAACTTCCGTTCGCTGATTTCGTGTTTGTGGTGTCGGTAAATATTTGACTAGACGAAATAAATCTGAACCATAACGATTTACAATGTGATATTCGTTCGGCCGGCAGCGGTTTCTACTCGTCCCCGTCACTCTGTTTCATCGTTGAAATAATGACAAACTCGCTCTGTACGTGCGTTTACAGTCGTCGCCGACGAGACCTGCCCGACAATAGAACATTATTATCAATAGGCCAACTAAACATTACTGTTCGGTAAAAATACACACAAACATCGTGCCACCAACTTCAAACGTTTCCCCGTCAGCCTTACGACAAACTTGCACCCGACAAAAATATTCTCAGACCGTCTGGACTAAATACGTTTACTGAAAACATAAAAGTGTTGCTTAATATTGATGTGCTTAATTTCAAAGGCGTCCAGACATTTGCGCGTAGCTAATTGTACTTTGTCATTCAACACTACGACCTTTTAGGCTACAACATTGCGAATTCGTCGAAACGGAAAATTTATCTGCAATTATCATATATATTAAATTACTGGCGAGCAAATATTAATTGTACCATCGAATTCTTGTGAGACAATTAAGCGTTTCTCGATTTTCTGTCGTTGTTCCGCTTTCGTTGCATACATTGTTGTTGTCGTATTAGGTAAATTTTTACCCGATTAATGAATGCCTCTATTGCAATGAAAATGAGCACCTTAATTAGACATAATTTTTTAATTAACGGCACAAAAATCACATGTATATAACTGTATATCAATGTTCAGAATCTTTGACGATTTAACATTTAAAACCCACGAGATTTTGAAAAAAATATATCATACACGAGCGATCCTGATAATTTTACTACAATATATAGCTAAAAAAATAATCATTAACATAGTGCATTTTATTTAACTCTCTGCACATACCAATCATAACTTTTTTTTTTTTTTATCGACGTTTCGCAAAAAGTGAATAATTGTAAAATTAGAAATTCACCCTCCTTTGTATTTAATTATACATTTACAAAAACTTAGAAAAAAAAATTGTCATATCACTCATTAGTTTAGTCGTGTTATAACTAATAATTCTATGCCCATCCTGCTTTCAAACACCACCGTAGATACACCTATGGTGTCAATGAAACAAATCGGTGCTTCTGCAAAAGAGAAGTTTCAATTCGTAGATCAGTTATTACCGAATTTGTGGATATCAAAGATTTTCATTTTTTGCACATAGTGGAGTCACGAGATAGTACTTTACTTGACTCTACAAATTGTATTTTTACTTTTATTTAACTTTCTATCGTTCTATCTTATCTGGATTTTTTCAAACTTTACCGAAAAATTGCAATTTTATAAGTAATTACGTCGTTGACCTAACAAAACGTCTTTGAGGTTACGTGGTTCTACGAAGTAATAAACATTTTAGATACATTTTAACATTAATAATGAATAGATTTTTCGAGTTATTATTAAATTGATAATGTCAAAAAGAGTTATTTTCCTTGAAAAATATATTTCTACAGCAAATTTTCCCCACTAAAGTGCTACCTCTGTAACATATCCTCTAGTCTTTACCGCTGTCGCGCTCACTATTATTATGAAATTAACTGAGATCGTTTTGTTATTATTACTGCACTACTATATACTCGTGTACGAGTTCTGTTCGTAGAAGGGTATCCTATAAACAGACAATAATAATAATTACAAAATATTATATTATACAATCCGAAGGGTGTTTTTATACAATCTTCATGTGCACATTTTTCTTCTCTGCCGCCACTATACTACCACCACCATAATCACCGCGCCCACCGCAGTTACCTTGGAAATCGGTGGATGACGACCAACATTGTGTTTGTGTACCGACCTTGAAACGACAGAGCACAGATTTCTACAATTGTGTAGAGCACGTACCCCCACCACGCGTCCTTGACTCGAAAAAACAACCCTCTGGTGCGCCTCGTCACACACGTGCATTATACACGTTGTTTTATAAGGCGGCGTTGCCGATGGACGCGGCCAAGCCTCCAAGATTCCATCGGTGATCACACATATAAACACATTGCTCGAGCACATACACGGTGTGTTCCAGACATAACCATCGCCAAACTGGCGCCTCTGTCGAATGCACATTATAATGGAGTTAACATGACGACCGAGAAGAAGCGTTGTAAAATATTGGCCAACAGCGCAGGGATCCGCCTACCTGTTATGTGCGTACACACTGCAGAGTGTATTATGAGGGAGATTTTTAAATTAAAAGAAAGCCAAAAAAAAAATCAACTGTACAACACAATAATGGTTATCATTACGAGTTTTTTTTATTATTATTGTTCGAGAATTTGCCACGAGATATCGGAAAAGAGAGAGAGAAAAGAAACGAAAACAACCATTTATCAACGTATACGAGACGATTTTCCCACACGGTACACGACCTGCTGCAGTTTCTCTTCGTCATCATTATCACTATTACTGTTGTATTATTAATATTCCACCCTCGTTGTCGTCTGTGATCTCCAACCGGATAAATCTTTGACGATGGCGTCTTCTAACCCTTGTGTATTTACATGCGTTTTAACTTGTATTACCACTCCTAGTTATTAATAAATTGTTCACGAAAAATTTCCTCTATTCATTTGTTTTTATACTGATTCCATTCCATTTACACTACGGCCTTCGAGAGACTTGAACGCCACCACCGACATAACCTTGGCCGCGAACAAAAAAATATATAACATGCTCTTATGGTATTTGGTGGAAAAATAGTCACACTCGAAATAATGTACTTAGAACTACACTTGAGTAGGGGTTGTAAATACGCCCGACCTCGCACAACACTCACTTAGTTGTATACACGTTTTCAAGGCTGCCAACCTCAGCCATTACCGAACGCGGAGCGTGGGGGTGTAGAGAGAATCATTTTTAAATGTTTAAGTAGGTCGACTACGACCGGTTGTCCCTCTGGCAGCTGTTTTAATTTATGCAAAAGAGGGCATTACCATATGATTATACTCGGTCTATAAGGATGCATACAGACCGGGTCACTGAAATAGTGTACACGTCGTAATGCGAATACGGCCCAGGAAGGTTAATTACTTTACTGAGCACAGATTTTTTTCTCTTTCCCTTGTTGTGACGATTAATATTATTATCGCCCCGTTCGCAAAACCCCCTTGAATAGAATTCATAAATCACTATCAAACGCGGGTTGAACTCGCTTATAATATGTTATTATTATTATTATTATTATTATGCGATGCTGGGTCAGCTAATGAGTGTTGTGAGAATACGTGTATGTTCGCGGGTCACCGCCGAGTAAGCACAAAACTTACAAAAGGCTGCGGTCACTTGGCTACGTGGACCTTTTCATTAAAAATAAAGGAACAAAAACAAAACCCGTCGACCGCTGTGATTTTATTATTAATAAGGTGGGGTCCTTAATTGATTACATTGTTGGCGAGCCCTAAATTTTCACCATTGCAAGCACATTTTCAATTTGAACTCGTCCGGCACTATACACTTTCGGACAGGCAACTTTCGACTGAAGGAAATCGGTACAGACCTTTTGGGTTCACTATGGTCCAGGTGTTCTGGAAGCTGCAGCACCAACGTGCGACATGCGGACATCCTCTCGGGCAATTTATCTACATAAACAAATACAACGACAACCCGTTTAAACAACGCATAAACGACGATAAAAACATTGGGGGTAGTTTACCGATAGCCGGTTGGTCGTACTGCAGTAGATGTTGCTGCTGCTGCTGCTGCTGTTGTCTAGAATTCATCAATATCGTCATTAGGGGGTTGATCTGAGCCGGTTTTTGGGCAATCGTCGTCATTCCCTTGTCCAACGGCGACGACGCCGACGCCGAAGGGCACCTGCAAAACACGATTAACGTTACTTAACTGAGCGACAGGTGCGCTGCAGGGAGCAGAATTATGCGCACACAATAAATATTATTATATAAAATATCCAATGCATGTGAATGTCGGGGTGCAATTAGCAGCGACCGTTTGTGTGATTTAAGTAAAAATAAAACAAGAAAAAACAGTCGATGTAACCATTATAGCATTGGTTCTGTTGCGTCTCCAATAAAGGTTCCCAAAAGGCACATTGAAATTGAACAGTGTAATGACGTGACACTTGATAAAAATAATTAAAGGGAAACCTAAAGATATTTTAGAAGAGCTACAAATTAAAATAATAAAAAAAAAAACTAATAAGATAATTTTTTTTCTTCAGGATTTCGTGTCTTATAAATATTTTTTATTCATATTTTTGTATCGTTTTATTTTAAATTAGATTTCATAGTACTGTGTGTGGACTATGATAGGACTGTGATGGAAATCAAAGTTTTCTTGTTATAGTTATTGTCTCGTAATTAATTATCTAGTTTTCAAATAGATTTCAATTTAAGTCGAAACATCCTAAAAAGTAAACTTTAATTGTTTATTCGTACAAATAGAAATGGGTAAAGTTCAATGTATACGGCTGTTGGAAACATTCTACGATTTATTAATGAACTAATTTGTCAAATATTTCCATGATTTCCTTTCAAAATGCAACCAACGAGTGGTTCTCAAGCTGTCAACAGAAACGATTTCATCGAAAGTGATTCGATAATTGACAAACACGCGTAAGGACGTTTATTTAGAAACCGTTTAAAGTTGAAAAAATTTTAATTAATTATTTTGGTTGTGACCGAAATTACACTGTAACTGTATTTGTACACTTTTTTCCGAAACCAATAACTATTATTATTATCAAAAAAAAAAACAAACTGTAAGCATTTAAATACTGAACACCATAACAATTACTATTATGAAACGTCTAATATTAGCTATAGAATAGTGTTACGATTTAAACAAGGGCGAGGAGAGGACGTCGACGACGTTATTGTTACTTAAATAGTAGAAAATATTTCAATAGGAACGTACGGCTAATAAAGCGGTAGGAATTGTGTAGTTTTATGAAGGCCTATTTGTGTGTATGAATATAAAACTGGCAGTCACTGCAATATTGGACGAAATATACTGCGGACCGGTTATATTTTTATGAACGGATATTAAAAGGCCTAGTTAAAAAGCATTGCCGCAACGATTGCTTTCGGCCATTATAATAAATTGTTCTACGGCAATATAACACTTATTGGTAATAACAAGTCTTGGAATGAGTTTCTTGGAATAGACACTTAAAAAATAGTTGATTTTCAAAATGAAATCTTTGGCTGGATTTCTTGCACGTGCCAAAAGTTATTACACCCTGTGAATACGCAAAAAATATAAAAGTTCTCAAGATCATAATATTTAATTGTTTTTTTTTTTGAAAACAAATAAGTTGCGAAGGATAAAAATAAAATAAATATTTTACAAAAACTGCATAGAAAAAAACAGCATTGTCTTTTGAACAGCGAACGTAACGCGACAAAAAACTACCTTTAATTCTATTCATTTAAATGAAACGTATTTAAATTTATAGTTCAAAAACATACCTCCTACTAATTTCTATTATTTTATACTAGTAACAAGCAAGGCAACAATGCACAGCTACGAATCCCTTGAAATTGTCAAAAAAAAAATGTGCAACGCTGTTTTAAAAATACAAAAATTAACTTCTAATAAAGTATCTCTTAAGGATTTGGTATCTATATTAGCTTTTGATTCAGAAAATATTTTGCATTAATTTTATTTTATTGTTTTGGACTACGTTAAACAAATATTGTTTATTATTTGTCACTAACAAAAAAAAAAAAAATTAAATTTTTAAATATCTATAAAGCCATTTTTCAAAGAAAATTTTTGATGTTAATTTTATCAATAATAAGTTAAAAATATATCAGCATTTCGAAAATAAAATGTGTTATTAACATATTATTTATTTAAATAATATGATAATTTAAATTCGCCAACAAAAACAAATGATATTACTACATAATGAATTATTAAATAATTAATATTATGTTATACACAAAAGTCTTTTAAAATATAGTTTTACAAGAATATAACAGTAATTAAAAATATAACATTTCACGGAATAGATAATTATTATTATCTTTTTTTATACTATAAAAAAGACCCTTCAAAATTTAAGGTAATCATATCAATACAAATTTGCTAAAGAAATACAAATACTATAGAAATTTTCCTAAAAAATAAGTATATTTAAGTTTTTAAAAAGTTGATTTTTATCAATAAATCCTATTATTGACATATTTATACAATTCAAAAAAAGAACCATTCCTTATAATTCTTACGAGTTAAAAGTTTAAACACACCAGTAAAAGACTTTTGTTATAAATTAAACAAATCACCCATAGAAAAATATGCAGTGCAATGCATATTTTTAAGTTATTTTGGAAATGTTTAAAATGAATAGGACCTTTTTTCCAATAAGTTAAAATTTTATAACTATTTTTATTGGTGGTATAAAATTAAAACGCTGATAGTTCTATTAAAGTGAAAATTTACGCTAAAAGGATACAAAAAATTATCATAGTAAAAACTTAATTAGGTGTTAAGCTTAATAGTTTTATAAATAATATTTAGCACAACGTGATAAATTATCAAGCAAATATTTTTACTCTAGTTTTTGAGATATAATTCTATACTTAATTAAACTAATTTACTTTATCTTGACCCCAAGTTGAATCGGATTGGATTTTATACTTCAAACGCAGCTGCACAATTTCACCCGAAATCTCGCTTAATTTAATGCAAATTTTCAGAAACTGATTTCTGTCATATAAATACCCTCATATACTCTCAGAAAAAAGGTCGGATACACTTAAAAATGTACATGGCTGGGTTCAAGTATTGAGAATTTATTTGCTTATTTGCCGAAATTTCGAATTGAAACTAATAAAATTCATTGCTCTAGTTCCGAACAAATCTCCAAAGAGAGACCGAAAAAGCTTAACATATTTTTTCTTATCTATAGCCTAGACAAGAGGTGAATATTGATTTTCTTTCTATTCTTGCTTATTTTAATTGTATTTATAATGGATATTTACATTTAACAATCAAGGCAGAATACATAGATGGAATTAGGGAGGTGCTTAGGGTACTTAGTACCCCTAAACAAATTTCACCATTCTTTTAAAATTTTGTTATGAAAAATAAAATAATTTCTACAGTAATTATATTTAAATTTAAATAATTTAATATTGTCTCTGTGTAATGTTTTTGGTGTAGTATATGTATTTCACTTTAAAAATAGTGATATATTTTTATTTCAATAACTATAGTTCAAATAACACAATGATAATAAAAAATTTATGTACATAGTAACAAAAAAATACATAAATATTTTGGTAAAAATCTAATATGTATTGTGACTTTTTGAGTTTTTTGTTTTAATTTATTTTTTAGTTTTAATTTTTAAAAATCTGATGTTTTCCCTTTACCGTATAGGTTAAAAGTCATGAATATGAAACTTCATATTTTGAAGTTTATTATTTACAGTAAGTGTTGACCTAATCAAATCAAATCGATGGAAATTTTCTAGTTACACATTTTCACCTTTCTTTTTTAATATAAAAACGATGGCTACGGGGTTATTAACTATTAGTTATATTACTAATAATTAATAAAAAATACTATGACTATTTAGACATAGCATAGTGGTGTAATTAAGCGATAGGCATAATGCAGACATGTGTAGAAGAAAGTTCAGAATTTTAACAAATTTACCATAGTCTAATCAAAATTAAAGCCGTTGAATATTATAGATACATAATGAATTATATTAATACTAACCAAGTAAAAAACCAATATCAAACAAAAAGTTTTCCTTTTACACACAATTGAAGAATTTATTGAATTATTAAAATTAATTTCTTTGTACGTGGCATACCGTCTACAATATAGCTAATTTTAAACTGCAACGGAAGTATTTTGAATTATTTTTAAAGAAGAAGAAGAAGTAGAACACTTATCAAAGGATAAAAAATCATTTATACTAATAAGTAATATTATTGGGCGTGATTATAGAATAATACGACGGTATAAACACAAACCAAGAAAATAATATGACAAGAAATTGTTAATTTTTTTTTTATCTGTAGGCGGTCTTAAGAATATTATATAAATGTTATTTTTCTAATAATGTCGTAAAGAGTAAAAATGCGCAACTCACTTGCTCTTGTCTTTGGTCTTTTTTGGAGATTTCCGACCGCTCTCTTTGCGTTTTCTCTCTTTACACCTAACTATTGGTGGCCCAACATCTGCCCTTTTAAATTTCGGATCTACCAAATCCATTCTGTTAATCCTTATTTCAGGCAACCCAGGCGGACACAGTGCTAAGTCGAAGTTCAGTTTGGTCGTTGTGTCAATCACTCGGATATCGATGAGAGGTTCAATAAAAGTATGCTGGCGCAACGTAGCCCCAACTACAGTTGTTAACTTTGTGCTAAAAAACTCGGCGTGCGTTTTGGCTCGTCTCGTCGGTATGTGAGTAATGACAGGTGCCGGCACGCGCTAGTTTCATAATAATCATAATAGTAACACCATACAGTTGTTTCAAAGGGTTTATATTTATGTTTATATTATTACATTGGAATAGCGAATGTAAAACCGTGTCGGATTAATGTTTCAGAGCCGGTAACCGGCTGGTACGGCGGGTCAAGCTATACATAATAAGCGCAGGGATGTTACATAGGCGAAACAGGGTTCATTTTTTATTTCGCCAATCACTAAACAATTGAAATTGTTTTATGTGCAATTGCGTTGAATAATTCCCTCCGCCGAGTGGAGATGCAAGGGGCTTAGTGTTGGATTTCATCGAGACTATTTTGCGTACATCTTGGAGAGCGCATGTCTTGCCAAAATGGGCGGCTGCCGGTAAGAAGGGTAACTAGGTCTGAATATTATTATTAATATTATTGTATTACATACATAATCCATCGGTGTAAGCTATTCTGCACACGGAAATTCGACGATAGAATAATAGTGATTTTGTAACGGGACTCCGAACAAAGGGCGAGTCGGAATTAAAATAGTTAACAAAATCGTCCAACCCTTATCGGTATTAATAATTGTTAGAGTAGATGGTTTACTCCCAATAGTAATAAAGCTGCTTCTTATGGCGGGAAAAAATCAACCCTCGACACAGAAAATAGGACACACTATGTGGGTCGAAGGTATAATTATTGAGTTAGACATAATTACATTTTTAAATTCCGGTGTTTAGTCCAAAAATCTCGAGCGTATGGCGAAAACCATAATAAATTGTGCTTTGCGGCAGACAAGGCACAATGTTTTTAATGGGATCATTAAATGAATTACTTGTATTGACTATGTGATCGTAGTGTGGAGGACCCAGTAACTGATGATTTGATACTTTTTTTTATCCGACATAAAACGTGCAACATAAACCAGCTGTTTTAAGTGAAAAAGTGTACACAATAACTGTAATGATAATGTAGTAGTAATGACTACATTAAGGAAAACAGTCAGGAGCTGCTTACGATCATAAATCTTTGAGTGGGATCGCCTCCACTCGAAACAACGTTCAAAGTTTTAACCCCACTCACGTCTTACAATCATATATACGAAGTGTACACACAATGCACCACATAATACGATACTTAACAAAAAATTGCTAGAGAATTAAACCTACATTATCGTCTAGGGTATGAAAGTACGAGTCGAGCGGTTGCGTTGGACAAATTTCACATTCATAAAACCCATTAAAAATCACGAATAACAGAATAATTTTCAAATTAAATCATTAGACTGACTGGAGCTAGTAACGTTTATTCGACAAAAATAACATTGAGATAAGCGGATGCAGTAATATAATCGTGTAACTAATACCTTGAGCCGCAGAGTCAATAACAAAGAAACATTTTACTATGTTTTCATTTATCTATAAATAAAAGTGTACTTATCAAGTGTTAAAGTGTACTGTATTGAATCAATGCACGAGTATGTTTGCTATACTTGAATCTATACCAACAACAGCGACGCTTTTTATGAAAACAGGAGGTCAATTTCATTCAAAATTAAACCCTATAATTGTACAATTTATATAAAAACAGCAAAACTAATACATTTTGTGTATTAACACAAATTATCGGTTGGGTTAAGTAGAGTTAATATAACCGCAAATATAACATACGTGGTAACAACTGCTAACAAATCCAAAAAAAATAATGCCAATCATGGGCGTAAATTGGAATATGGAACTAAGAGGGGCCAAGTCCATTTAAAATTAAAAAAAAAAAAACAACTTTTATTATTATACAGAAAGACATTTTAGAGAAAGAAAAGTTATAATAAGTCCCACCAAAAATTGTGTTGGAATTGCGCCCATGTTGCCAACTTCATAACCATTAACTGCTAAAATTATGTCGACCAGTACTAATAATAATGATTTTTTAAGTTTCAAATGAGTAAAATGTACTCAACTCCGACAAATCTCTAAACCCTATATTAATATTTTTTTTACAATTTTTAAATTTATTTATAATTTAAAAACAATTTTTTTCATTTTTTATTAACTTCAATAATTTAAGTGTATCTTAGTCAATAAATTTTCTACTAGAAAAAAAAAAATAGTAATCTACAAAATATATAATATTATTTTAATTTTTCTTAATACTCTTTTTAAAAACTAAGTTTAGTAGTTAAGTAGTTTATAGTAGTTCAATTTTAATATCATTAATGTTTTTAAATATTTTGCAATATACCAAATTTTATAGCAAAATTGTTATTTTTACAAAATTTATTATTATTTTCTTAATCTTACAGAAAAACAGAGTTACAAAAAAACAGTACGACTTTAAAAATGCAGAGCAAGTAAGAGAACTATTCTTCTAAAAGCGAATATTTTATACGATAATTAATATTGACAAAATTTCTTCATTAATAGTATTGTAATTATTTTTGTTTTGGATATAATTCAAATTCAATTTTTTTTCTCATTGGCTGTTGTGGTTTTGGACTTTTTTTTTTTGTCAACATTTCTGTCTTATTTTTATCAGTTATTAATTTAACAAACAGCAATATAGAGATCGAAAATCATAAAAAATATTTAAATATGTATATTGTAATATTATTGATAATTATTAACAATTATATTTTTTGTTAAACAACGTATTAATAATGAATGTTTTAAATATTTATAATAATTAAAAATCCAACAAGTATAAATAAAATTATAAAAAATATAAATAATTTCTAATCAGCCTATAATAGTTTTTTTTTTTTATTTGAGCATTCTGTATCAAACTTTATTTGTTATATTAACTCGATGATGGAATGTGTTCGTATTAACCATTAAGAATACTTTACAACGTTGGCGTCTGAAAAGATACAAAAGAGGTGTAATTGAAATTACCAATATGGAAAATAAACAAAATTTAAAAAGGTTTAAATACGAGGCCGTTATAAAACATTTTATGATGTATAAAAACAAACATTTAGATAAATGATAAAATAAAGAATGCTATTTTCTTGCCGAATTACTCAAGTAGATATTGTCATATAATATTACACGAGTTTTACGATAATGAATTCAATTGGAATCTTTCTAATGCGTTACAAACAACTTTTTACACTATTCGCAAAGTACAACGGAAAATCGCGTGTNGAATCTTTCTAATGCGTTACAAACAACTTTTTACACTATTCGCAAAGTACATCGCGTGTTGTGCTAAGCCCAATAGAAAATCCTATGGTATAAACGGGGCCCAGTATAGTACTAATAATATAATAAAAAAGGACAGAGATTCACATAAAGTGGCAGACGGCATGTCTGCTGGTTGCGCCGGCTCTACAGCCCGTGTAATATAATTGTTTGTGTTTTTCCTTTCGGGGTCAATTGACGTTAATTCCGATCCGATAAACTTGCACAAAGTGTTAGAAAGTTTTTCGGTCGTTTATCGATTTTACTCGCCACAAACTTTCTGATGTATAAATATAAATATATATTAGTGTGTGTGTATAAAATAAGTACACAATATTATATTATTACACCAAAATGCACGCAAAGGTATACCTTTTAGTTTCTACTAGTATGTGCAGCGTGTGTCTGATGGACATACTGAGATGGCCTATTTTGATCGGGGTAGATTTCTATAGATACTGCGGAATCCAGTGGGGTTTGTGATAAAGCGTCTTATGTATGGAAATAGGCGGTGTTGGCAAGGCGTATATGGAAATCGTTCCGTTGCGGTCAGGGAGAAACGGAGGAAAGTTGGTGGCCTATAAAGGGTTGTGCGACTCGGTTTTCGGAGAAAAGCTCTCTCTCAGCGGACCGTGTACGTGACGTAGTGACCACCGTTGCGAGAAGAAAAGCGAGAGCGAGATGGCAAAGGAGCGAAGGGTAGTTTCCTCTACCGTCCATCCGACCGATGTCCGAGAGAGACCACGCGTGTGCGCGCTCCCAATCGTCCGCGCGCGATTATTCAAATACGGCGTTTCCCTTGCCCACCACGTCTTCTATCGCCTGAGAGCTTGTGCTTTTGCCATCACTTGGTTTTCCTCTTCGCCGCCGCCGCCGCCCCATACCGGGTGACACCCTCTCGTACTTCCTCGACCATACTGCCCGCCCGGGGTCTATATATATATTTATATAAATGTATATATGTATAGCCACGCAGCTTCCCTCTAACCTAATCGATTCTTCAATAAAGGGGTGTCAAGAAAACGGGGTGGACCATCGCCGCCGCCGTAGCTGGACGGCCACGTGAGCATATTGATAAATGGCAAGGGAAAGAGAGAGAGAGAGATAGAGACGGCACCAGTATGGAGAGACTGGCCACCACCGCCGCTGCCGGCTTTTAGCTCGTCCACACGCGCACATCGTCTATGTATATGTATATGCGTAAATATATGTATATACAGTATACGTGTATATATATTTAGATATACATAAAACGCCGGACCTCGGACCGGCACTATGCACCGCCTTACCCCGTCCACTCTGTTACCGGCCGGTCGACCGCGTCCATCTCTTCTCCGCTTTCTACCCTCCGCAGTCACGAGGCCCACCACACCGTTCACCCTTTTGTCGAACTAATTATTCAAACTTAAGCGTGTGGACTTTAACAGTCCCTCCTTACCCCTTCGCACACTGCATCGTTTCGCCCGTTCGGATATTCACCTTCAAGATCCGATCAATACTCATTCTTTTGTCACTAAAATGTATGCACTAGACCAAGTTTTAAACGATTATTTATTTTTTTTTTACACTAATAGGATCAGCATTATTAATTTTATATTGTTGTATTTATCGCGCACTGTTGTTTACAATGAGTTACCCTTTTAGATTCGCCCGAACCAATGAGTGTATGTACTGACAAACGGAAACCGTACATGCATCTTTATTGAGAGTACTTTGCATTACCTACGCAGAGAAATACAATAATAACAATAATAATAACAGCGCACATTACAGTGTAGCTGAAAAACTGCGATGAAAGGAAAACAACAAACACGGAAATGCAACGAACACGGG